GGTGTTCATGGGATTCTGGGATCGGATCCTGGGATATTTTCACGGCTCCAGACATGTCTTCCACGTGGCCATTACGCATACAGTCCTCACACGTCACAAACGCGGAGAGCAGTGCGTGTAACTTTTGATTTCCAGTCGTGTGAATGCAACCTTGTATGAGAATCTTTAACTTTAAAGTAAAGAACTTTAAACATTTAACTTTAAAATATATAGCTTTAAAGTAAAGATCTTGGCAGCATTTTGGAGTTACGTATTTCACTCATGACCATGAGCACAGGTTGAAACGTCGGATTTTGATTATGTAACCAATGCTAACCTGATAATTCGCTCAACTAGGACCTCCTCGTATATTGAAGGGTAAGGGTATACGACAATGCGGGTATCCGTATATTAGAAATGCTGCACATCCATTATCTTTGTCACACACCCACACACCCACACACCCACACACCCACACACCCACATACCCACACACCCACACACCCACATACCCACACACCCACGCACCCACACACACACACACCCACACCCACTTTTACACCTTTAAAAGCTGCCATGTCTTGCGGTTCAGTTTTTTGTTCCGATGCAGGAGTTTCTCGTGCAAAAAACTGCCAACATTTGTAGACTGGACCAACATATGATGGATTTGGCAGAAAGCAAACCTGCCTACAGAGCTATATGGAACCAAATGAAAATAAAACAAACAGTAATGCGGTCAGGTAACCAGTGTTCCAACAGATCATGGAAATTTGACTGTTTCTCCTGGGCCCAGTATTTACTTCTTGCGTACCCATGCATTGGAATAGGGCTCTAAGAACCAACTGAGCCCCCGCCCCCCCCCCCCTCCCAAAGCATATAAAGCGACGCCCTTGGGTTCCCCAGAACGAAGGCAAAACCACGTCTACACGCGGGTAACAACACATTGCGATAGCATGCGACACACCCAGCTTTGGTTCTGCAAGGTGGCAATATATTACTCCGCCCACCTGGCTCATCTAGTTTAATGTTAAATGTTAAACAAGTTAAATGAAAGAACCATGCAGTTCTATGCGGAACACCGCACAGCAGCATTCTGAAACATTTGTAATGCTGAAACTGGCGAGACTGGCCTCCATTTGGGGAATGCGTGAATAGGTATCCCCCAGTTCTGCAACAGCTTGTTACCCCAGTGTGGTACAGCGGCTGGTTCGCTCATTGTCGTCGGCCATGTTTCACGGCAAGTGACAGCGCAGGGGTTGGGTGGATCACCGCCACGTCGCTTAGATCCCCGTCTAAGGCGCCGCAATTTCCCGAAATCGATTGGACCGCTTTACCGTGGGTGGCCAAGAAATGACATTGCACCCACGCCAAAGATAGCCAGTGTTTTCTGGCCAACAGTTTTCTGGCTAGCAACCTGGGACAATATTGTGCAATAGTCAGGATCACGCAGATAGTCAAGGCGATAGATTATGCTTGGCGAAGACTGATCCAAACGGGACTTAGAAGGCATTTTATGCCGCTGAATCTCCAGCGACCAGGACGCATTCGCCTACGCACAAAATAAAAACTGCTTCACCGAAGAAGCAACGGGGAATTACTAATAGTACATACGTCGCGTGCTACTTAGTACTTAGTTGACAGATCTATAACAATCCCCGACGAATTACATGTAATAATCACCCTGGCAAAAAACAAAGAACGACCAATTACGTACTTTTGGTACTCCAAAATTAGTTTCGACGAATATGAGCTACCGCTCCACAATTGCAGACTTACTAGTCATAAAACGCATTCTTCAAGGCCATCTTCTATGACTGCCGGCTCCGCAAAAACGCTTCATGCAAACTTCGTCAAAATTTTGTAAGTGTAAAGGTCTAGTGGTATTGTACATAGTCTTTAGTATTGTAAAGTCTCGTGCAAAATATAACAATTTACTGTGAACAGGTTATGTAGGCAAACCCCTTTTCCACAAAGGGCTTAAGCTTATGCTTGCTTTTTTATATTGGAGTGTCGTAATTACGGGACAGCAGAAAATATCCGTTCATGGATCTGAAGAGGAAAACAAATTGTAAAATGCCGGTTTGATAGTTCGACGTAAAAAAGCCAATTTGGATGTCAGGAACATGCACCATGCACTTTGTACACGAACTCAAAGCTTCTTTAACGAATCCGAATAGTCTGCAGTACAGTAAATATCTTGGGCTGTAACACTGATTCGGTTATGGAAAATATTGCCCTCCATGTTAGTCGAAAAATGAGGGACATCTGAGCCGCAACTGGATAGGTATAAAAGGCACTCGCGTCAGCTACGGTGACGTTCATACTCACGAGCGAATGCCATCTGACCCCTCTTGTAAGCAGAACAATTACAAAACAGCACCTAAAGTGCATGCCTATACACAATCCTGAAAGAAATGACCGCGACCCGTGTCGAATGTCCAAGCTTTTCAGGGCTCTTCAGACACTTGCGAGATTGTCGGTTGGCTCGTGTATGCAATCGCCACCATCAGACTAGCAAAGCCAGTGATTGCCAAGAGCGTGGAAGCCCATCGACCCACCTGGGGTGCTCTGACCCACGTGGGGTGCTCTGACCCACGCGGGAGTGGGGGGTTAGCTAGAATGTGTCACGACACTAACGCCTTTTGCCATTGTGAACCAACGAATCCCTGAGCTGTTCCTGTGCTCAGATTGTTCATCGAGTGCCAGCGGTGACTTGAGTTGTGTGCTGGGCGAGGATACCGCATCGCATTGAAAACGAGTCCAGCCCGCAACTTACCGTGGGTTGCCGTGGGTTACCGTGGATTACCGTGCATTACCGTGAATTGTAGCATTATCTGGACGGTTTACCACAAGCACCATCGTCTGTGGCCAAAAGGTGGTCCAGATGTCGCCGGAGGCCAGGGAGCGTTTCAGGAAGTGCAAAGTATATTTGGACTCTGCCAAGATGTAAATGAGGGGGCAAAAAGCCAGTTCTGTCAAGACAGTAGCAGCATGGGCCGGAGATAACAGAAGGGCTTTTGAGACGCCGTGGTGACCCCGGGCGGAGTGAAGTTGCCAGCTCAGGGAATTAACCTTGCTCAAGAACCAGACAGATGACTGAAGACTTTCGAGGACTCCAGACCATTCCTGGAACCGTCGCTCAACGCTAGATGGCTTCGTCATGATGGTCGGGCGGAGGGCCCAAGGAGCGCCAGGGGTCCAAAGTGGGCGGAAGAGGCAGACTGATCGGAAACGCGGAGCTGGAGGGCTACTGGCCTCACCGCAGCAGAGAATGGCATGTAAAGACCTTTAGAAAACGTGAAATGGCAGGGGACCTCAGACTTTCACAAGACCAGGGGCAGGGTCAGGGGCAGTTGTCCAACATTGCTTCGATGATGATTTGGGCAGTGGGGCGCGCTGACAACAGCGGCCATATGGCGCCGTCAACGTTGCCTCAAAGAAGCCGCGAGACAGAATATCTGCGACAACCTAGAGACCAGTCCACCACGTCTCGACAAGTTGTGAAAACAATGGACAATACAAGCAATCTCAGGTTGCACAGCGATCGGGGAGAGATAAGAGGTCGGTTAGACCGACTCTTCTTAGTCTTCCTTACCGGTCTCAGATCTAAAAGAAAGCCAGGGGCGTTCCCTTGCTAATACCATCGTGACCTATGAAACAGTCCGGACCTTGAAAACGTGATGATTTGGACTCGAGTGCCGGGTCGTTCCAAAAATGAAAAAGATGTTAATCCCTCCGAAAATGAGAGATGCTTTGTTAGGCACGATAGCATGTCACGTTTCCTTAATCCTCAAAACTACACAGGTTTACCACCGACAAGTCAGGGATTCGAGATATTCGCGAACACCTTGGAGATCGGAGACGAAAATTGGTTCCTTTTCTCCAGGATTAGCTGTGTGCGACTCATCCGCTTTGGAAAACTAAGATAACACACTTCGTTTTACGTACAAGCCCGGACTCGCCTGGTATCCGAAAGGACATTTCTGTTACCTTTTAGCTTCCAGTTCGACAGAAGACAAAGTCAACATTTCACCCTCTCCCTCCCTCTCACCCCCCGGATGGGGCCACCTCCTACCTTTCCCGATACCCAGGTTCACCTCTCATTCCCTTCAGACGTCTGGCTCCATCTCGCACTTCTGCTAACATCTACGTCTACTCCTCTCTCCCGATATCTGCGTGCACCCCTCACCTTCTCCCGATGAGTGGGTATCTCAGCCTCCCGACGCGTGGGTATCTCAGCCTCCCGAAGCGTGGGTATCTCAGCCTCCCCGACTCGTGGGTATCTCAGCTTCCCCCGACGCGTAGGTCTCTCAACCTCCCCCGACTCGTGAGCCTCTCAGCCTTCCCCGGTGCGTAGGGCCCTCAACCCCCCCCCCCACAACCCATGGGTCTCTTATCCTCCCCCAATGCGTGGGTCCACCTCTAAGCTTTTCATGGGCATGAGCTCGGCTCTCAGCCTCCCCGACGCATGGGTCCAGCTCTCAGCCTCCCCGACGCATGGGTCCAGCTCTCAGCCTCCCCGACGCATTGGTCCAGCTCTCAGCCTCCCCGACGCATGGGTCCAGCTCTCAGCCTCCCCGACGCATTGGTCCAGCTCTCAGCCTCTCTCAACGCATGGGTCCAGTTCTCAGTCCCCCCGACGCATGGGTCCAGCTCTCAGCCTCCCCGACGCATGGGTCCAGCTCTCAGCCTCTCTCAACACATGGGTCCAGCTCTCAACTTCCCCAGACGATGGGGTTCAGCTCTCAGCCCCCCTCCCCCTGAGGCAGGGTTTCAGCTATCAGCCTCCCCCGATGCATGGGTCCAGTTGTCAGCCTCCCCCGACGCATGGGCCCAGTTGTCAGCTTCGCCCACGCATGGGTTCAGTTGTCAGCTTCGCCCACGCATGGGTCCACAGCCTCATCCTTTCCCAATGTCCAAATTCACCTCTCACCCTCTGATGACGCACGGGTCCTACAATCGCCTCTCCAAGCGCTTTGGTCTTCCACTCACCCTCTTCCGACGCCCGGATCCCACCTCACCTTCGGCGGACGACTGGGGCGACACGGAGGCGCCGTCAGACGGACTGAAGACGTAGCCGGTGCCGTCGGCGGCAGCTCCGTCAGTCTCCCAGTCCTGCACGGCTATGTGCACGGGCCCATCGGCCGGCTCGGCCAGCGTCGGCTCCAGCTGGAACACGTGCGCCTCGGGGTTCAGGCCCGCCGAGCACGCCGCTCCGGAGGACACCTGGCGGCAGACGGTGGAAGCTCAGCAAACGAACGCTGTTGAGGGTTGACGGGGATGCGCAGTCGGCGTGGAGCGTTTTGGGCCGGGTGGTCCCCTGTGTGGTGCCGACGTTGTCAGTAGGATTAGACACCAGTAGCGAATGGTGGGTTCATGCTTTGGAAGACAAACGGGACAAACGGTCGCATATCAACTGTGCGTCTGACGTGCGGGTTAATGGTGGAATTTCCAGTTCATTCCGTCATTTGAAATCAGCGAGCCAGACACATTATGCACGCACAAGCAAACGGTGAAACGGGACAGGATTTGAAGGTCCGAAGTTCGATTTGGACCAACGCACGCAATGTCAGGAAAACGACGATAGCAAGTGTATTGAATGCCTACAGCTGGCTTTTCCGTCGTGCTAGCTCAGTTGGTCAGAGCGCCTGCCTTCGAATCCACCCACTCGTGGTGGGATGGGTTCGAGACTCTTTAAGCGCTTGCCATTTGTCCCTCACTGGAAGAGCCCACAGCCGGTGACAGCGGTCCCGCTGAAGGTCAGATAGCGTCAGTGGGCAGGACGGACTGTGTCGAGCATTACGGCGAGTCACATCTTCGCCACAAAATTCTTCCGTTAACCTGGAACGTCACACGTGTGTCACTGCGGCGTAACGACGCACTCAGTGCTGAGGGCCATATGGCGTCGCCTGCCTCTCACCCTGGCAGGAAGGGCGGGCACCGCGGGGAATCGAACCCCGCGCCTCTGGTTTCCCATACGTGCAGTGGCTAACGTGTCCGCGTCAACTACTGCACCACCAGCACCCCGCTGCAACGTGACGATCTGGTGGTGAGGTTAGGGCTCGACGCATTGCTTAGCGTCAGCTTGGATCTCAGAAAACAATCCCATTCTGAAGGGGCGAGCAAAATCTTAAGAAAGGCGTCAAAGAAATAGAAAGATCCAAATTAAATCTAAGAAAAATATACCAAGTGGAAAAATTTCTTCATGACCCATTTGCCGCGTACATTATTCAAATGGCCTGAAGCCATTCGGTCATGCGATTTAAGGTTATTCAATAATGATTTGTGGGTTGCACCAGGCTAATCAATATCTACAGAGGTTCAAAATGTCGGGACAAATATGACGAGCCAGCAGAGAAACATTTTGCGCCAATGATATCAGTCCAGCAAAATCGATCTGTGATATTGCCTGTAATTAATTCGCGGTAAACAAGGCACTGAGACTTAAGCAAGCGTTTTGGATCTAACTGCCGAGGAAGGCGAAGAGACCGCGGAGGAAGTCATTGAACAGTCGGTGAAGTTTAACACTTGACTAGTGTCGAAATTTTTAAAAGATATCAAAGCTTCTTTCGGCCTTTTTATATGGTGTTGTGTGTACAAGCACGCAAGAACGGCTCAGAAAAAGACGGATAAATATCTGGGAACAAACCGAATCGATTGAAGTCGTGCCGCATATAAAGTGCTGCTGTTACTGGTCATTGTATATATATATATATATATATATATATATATATATATATAAACATATGCAACTAGCTTGTGCTTGGGTACTCTTGCCATCAGTACCTCGTTAGTGCATTTAGTTGGTCATGTTCACCAGTGATTGCTTGAAAGCGTTGTATACCATTAGGTAGCTCCTGGCATGCTGAAGTTCGGATATTTTCAACGCAATCGTAATGGCGAACTGTCCCGCGCGCACTGATCCAAGACAACCTGAACCCGATCAGCTCCTTACCAAGGTCATGGAGGACTTCAAATTGTAATCCTTCTGCTGAATCAGCCCACGTTGCTAACGCAAACGAGCCACCTTACACATCTTGCCAGGTGACAATCGGTCTGCACATCCAGCTCCCCAGCACAAGTGCACGAATATCCTCTCTTGACGCTCTCCTGTGGTAATTCCTCAGTAAAGCACACCGCCCACGAATGTCCCGATTGTCCAGCCCGGCCGGCACGTTCACGCCCACTCGCCCAGACGGCCAAACCTGCCCTGTCTGCGGCCCCCCTGACCGGTCCCCAGTCCGCGCCAGCCGGCCCGCCCCACACGAGCCACGCCCGCAGGCCGTGTCGTGCGGGACAGTCTATGCGGCGGGCGCGCGCTGCTGCGGCTGCCCGTTACACAATCGCCGGCCTTCAGAAAGATCTTTGTGCAGCGTTGAGGTGATGAAATGTAAATTTTTGATCTGCTCCTCGCGCGAGGCACCGCGTGGGCGAATAATTCATCGTGCACAATAATCCGCGTTTTTTCGGCAGCTGGCTTTGAACCTGGCGTTAGTGTTGAAATCTGACTCAAGGTTGGTGGCGGCTAGCCGGTTTTCAGGTCCGCAGCTAACCAACCCTGCACCAGCGGCCTGTCTGCTACCCCGTTTTGTGATCAGCTGATGGTTATTGACTAATTCAGGATTCCAACATTGCTTTCAGCCCTGGAGGTAGGGTGGAAAATATATTCGAAAACTTTTTAAATGCGACCGAATCAACTTAAATGTATCAGAATATGCAAAGAACAAAACAGATGTTCCAAGACCCTGGCCACTTTTCGGATGGCACTATGCAAAATTTTCAAACACATTAAAAGATAGTGCAGTGACCAGAGAATTGGTGAATGCGTTAAGGGTTGAGACAGTTGAGCAGCATTACACTAACTTGTAAAATTAGAAAAGCTTGGAAGAGTGACCATCATAAATCATGATAACAACAACTTCTCCATAACGCAGTCAATTGCTTTGTTCTCAGTTACTTCTGTTTTCCACCGTGCCACTTCCAAGGAGCTCGGTTCATGGCTCACGCCTATTGCTCACGCAATAAGCGTGAGCTCATTAGCGTGAGCCCTGAAGCAATTATCTGAGCGTGCAGTTCATGATCAGAGGCACAATTTTGTGGCCAAAATTTAACGTGCCACAACGCTTAGCTCCGTCCGCCCTGGCCTCGAACGTCACCTGACCTTTAACATGGCCGCCGCCATCCGCTGCAGGCCATCCCAGTCAAGCACAAATGGTGAATACTTGAAGCGCTTTGAAACCGCCTCACTACGTGTGGGTGAAACCCAATACAGGTGTTCGAACCAACTTAACTACCGGGCAAGTTGATCCGTTCAGTGAACATGGTGATATGGAGGGTGCTTAATCACCCGTAAAATCTAAGCGTGATGCAAAATAACCGCGATGTCTAACTAATGTAATACTTTAAGCGCCTGTGGAAATTGGTGGTCTTGGCCGAATGGTTTGCAAAGTGGATTTGTCCGTCCCAAATCCATGGTTTGGTGGTGTTTTACGGCGCGTCAGCATCGGGGCCATGTTGGTAATCCATGGTTTGAATCCACACGCACGTACTTTTCCACAGGTCGTCAGCATCCTCACGGCCGTCTCGCCGATCGATCGGAGTCTAGCTCGATAGCTAAAGTAATGAGGCCTAATCCCAGACTCGATTTTGAGTAACATATCGACATTGTCAGCTTAAAATGTGTGCTGTAATTTAAGAGAATCGTTCTTTTTACCGTGAGTTCTTTCTGCGCTGCCGAAACTCCGGGAGACTTTGGCCGTAGCACGGACCGCTGAGAATTGAATACCACGTGGTGATATTTCATTGCAACGAATTTTTGCTCATAATGTCACAGTAAAAAAACGCCGGACATAGTAGCAATATTTTTATATTTGGAATCTTTTGGTTACGAACATGGCTTTTTAAAGTCAGAATCTTCTGCTTCAAGAAGCCGACTATCTGAGCAGGTCCGATCCTGGTCTTCCAGTCCCGTTGAACTCTATTCAGCTCGCTTGGCGCGTTTCTCGCGAGGTGCCAGTAGTTACTGCACAAACTAAAAGTACGGCGAGAACGACGTGAAGCCGTGCTCTCGGGTGGCCGCAGCCGGGGCTCGGTTTCGATAAGCAGCCTCATAGGGGGCGTCCCAACTGTAATGATACCAGTGGCGGGGCGACAGGCAGCGCGCTGTCCCAGCAGCGCAGACGGCCAGCCGAGCCGGTGGCTCCTCCGCCATCTGGGCGCGGCACTAATGAAAGACACAGCCACCGTCGCTCCCCGATTGTTACCGGGGACAGCTGGGTTTTATTTTAGTCATGTCTGACGCAAGTGTTTAGTTCGGCACACCTGTGTGGACCTGAAACTTACATGCAAACAGCTGAAAAACAGGTTCAATTAGGGAATACCAGCTGTAGGGTTAAGAGCCGCCACTCGAACATCCACCCCTAGCCACGTACACTCGAAAGCGGACAGGACCTGGCTGCGGGGAAATTCCTCTACTCCGGCTGGCGTGAGCAGCGTGATCTGTAACACCCCACCGCAGCACCAACGGCGTGATCTGCAGCATCCCACCACGGAACCAGCAGCGTGATCCGCAGCACCCTGCCACAGCACCAGCAGCGTGATCCGCAGCACCCCACCACAGCACCAACCGGGCGATCTGCAGCACCCCACCACAGCACCAGCAGGGCGATCTGCAGCACCCTGCCACAGCACCAGCAGCGTGATCTGCAGCATCCCACCACAGCACCAGCAGCGTGATCTGCAGCATCCCACCACAGCATCAGCAGCGTGATCTGCAGCACCCCACCGCAGCACCAGCAGCGTGATCTGCAGCACCCCACCACAGCACCAGCAGGGCGATCTGCAGCACCCTGCCACAGCACCAGCAGCGTGATCTGCAGCACCCCACCGCAGCACCGGCAGCGTGATTTGCAGCACCCCACCGCAGCACCAGCAGCGTGATCTGCAGCATCCCACCGCAGCACCAGCAGCGTGATCTGCAGCATCCCACCACAGCACCAGCAGCGTGATCTGCAGCATCCCACCACAGCATCAGCAGCGTGATCTGCAGCACCCCACCGCAGCACCGGCAACGTGATCTGCAGCACCCCACCGCAGCACCGGCAGCGTGATCTGCAGCATCCCATCGCAGCACCAGCAGCGTGATCTGCAGCACCATGCCACAATGATCTAGTATGCCTGGCACGAGCCTGGTGCTGTACAGCAGCGCCTGCTGTCCGATGCGTGCA